GACTATAAATAGATGCAAAATGACTAAAAACACACAAAAAGTGGCCATAAACTGACAGGAAATGACTTTAAACAGATGCAAAATGGCTACAAAGAGACACAGTTACTAAGACGAGACACAAAATGACGACTTAACACAAAAAATGACCACAAGCACATTTTTTTGTTTGGTTGATTTTGCGTCTTTTGTGGGTGTGTTTTTTTGTTTTTTTTTAAGTTACCAATGCCACAACTCTCTTTGCGTGACCTACACCAAATAGCTCAACGACACATCCTTTGCAGATTCTTTTCTCCTGCTGCTCAGTTGTACATTGTGTACACATGGTTGTGTAATGCTCTGATCTAACCTCGGTCTTAAATGTTTATTGCCGTCATTCGTGTTTTTATGGTCGACAATATTTGCTTTTATAGAGCGAGACATTGACTGCAGCCTCCAATAAAACAGCTGCGTTAGCCTTTTTTTTTAGTCATATAACCTGCTCCTCCTCCGTCCTGTTCTTACCCTTTATTGATCATCTGACAGTCACGGGGAGGCTTTTATCTGTCCGTTTATGGCCTGTTATTAGAAGATCATGTACCGTATCAATTATTAACAGACGAACCTTGATAACTTCATTGTTGTGTAATCTTTATGCAGTGCCAGATTTTTATAGACTTCCCAGTTTTTTGCAACTTCTATATCGCTACACATCTACTGTACTTTTTACTCTACATTCAACGGGCAGATTTAGTCACTGAGCTTAGCCCTGAGTGCTTCTTCCACTGTGCTGGTAAAGAGGTTCTGCAGGAAAACTGACTGATCTTTTTTTTTTCCTGACATCAGATCAGATAGCTCTGCCGGACTTTAATGCTGGAGCCATGGAGAACTGGGGTCTGATCACATACAGGGAGACGGTGCTGCTGTACGATGAGGAGTACTCCTCCAACAGCAACAAGGAGAGGATCGCCACCATCATCGGCCACGAGCTGGCTCACATGGTGAGGGCTGAAGCCAGCAGTGGAGGGAGACTTCTGTAACTCCTGCTAGACCTCGCACCCTTTAAACATCTTCAAATCAGGCCTCAAGTTCTAGAAAATAAGTTCAAAGAAAGTCTCAAGTCCGGAAAATCAAGTTTAAATTGAGTCAGAAGTTTCACATCCAAGAAAGCCTGTTAAGTCTGAGTCTTAAGTCCTGAAAAAGTTCAAATTGATGCTCAAGTCAAATCTAAAGTCATAAAAAACAAGATAAAGTTGAATCCCAAGTTCAAGTCAAGTCTCAACTCTTAGAAAATAAGGTCAGATTGATTGATTTTGGCTTAAAGTCTCACTTCAAAAAACATTCTGGCTTTCATGTCGTTAAATCCACAGATGTGGGAGCCTGTAGATCTGTTTTTAGGACTTGTCAAGTTTTTAGGACCCTAGATCTCGAGTGTTACAGCCTTCAAGTCCCAGCTAATTCTTGAGTCCATGTTTTTCTGACTAGAGCTGCTTATGTCTTGTTTATTTTTGTTTGTTCTCAGCATCGCATTCACACCTTTTCTCTGCGTTGTCCCCTTTAGTGGTTTGGTAATCTGGTGACCCTGCGATGGTGGAACGACTTGTGGCTGAACGAAGGCTTTGCATCGTACGTCGAGTACCTGGGAGCCGACCATGCTGAGCCCGATTGGAATGTGGTAAGGATTTACCCGCCACCTCACGGCCTCCACAATTGGAGCAGGAGATTGGTGGAGTCCTGAGCGTCTCCTTTGTCTCCCAACAGAAAGACCTCATCGTGCTCGGTGATGTCCACCGAGTGTTTGCCGTTGATGCTTTGGCCTCTTCTCACCCTCTGTCCTCTAAAGAAGAAGACATCCAGACACCAGCCCAGATCAATGAGCTGTTCGACGCCATCTCATACAGCAAGGTAACTGCACTGACCTGCACGGGTAGAAAATGAATTAGCACAACTCCATTTGCTCACGACGAAAGAATCACAAAACTACAGAGACACAAAACGACCACCACGGGACACAAAATGACCAGAAACGGTTAAAAA